GAGATCATGAAACAAATGCACATACATATTTGTGACATGATGTACCTTGTGTGTGTGAAGTTTGAACTCGATCAATCCAAGCATGTCTCAGATACGGATCCAGAACTGAATTCTTTAAAACAAAATGGCCACCAGTCGGCCATTTCGAACCCGATCCAAAAAAAAAAAATGACGTGCATCAAGGTCCTATTATGTTTAATGTATGTACCAAATTTGAACAAAATCCATCCATGCATAACTGAGATCCGGGTCCGGAATGGTGAAAATGTGCGATTTTGATGCATTTTCGGCCTTAAAATGGCCGCTATTCGGCTATCGTTAATCGGATCATGAAAAAAATGCATGTGCATATGTCCCATAAAAGGTGTGATGTATGAGTGAAGTTTGAACTTAATCGGTCCATGCATGTTCGAGATACAGGTGATCACGGACGCACGGACGCACGGACGCACACAGGGCAAAACATAAGTCCCCGTTTTCGGACTGCGTCCGAACGGGGACTAAAAATGTTGTCTGGCACATGTGAATAAAATTGCAAATGGAGAGAACTCTAAACAAAACATGCTCCAACATAATAGCCTAAATACTGCAAAGTAATTAATTTTTAAAATTTGTTAAAACCTGTGTTTTGATATTATTATTGTTTTATTTTTGCTCTAAGGGATGAATAAGTAAAAATAAAATCCAGTGAAATTACTTTTTTTTCTATGTTTTTACAAACTTCCCACAAAAAACAGCCAAAATATCTTTTCAGCAAAAATTAATTCCAGTCAGAATGAAGTATTTTAAAATAACAATTGTGACAGTGTTCTAAATGTTCTCAAAGTTGCCTATAGAGGGCACATGACCTATCAACCTAGCCACATTGTATCATGAACTCCAGTATAATAGAGGGATAGAAAACTGAGAAAATAAAAGGAAATGCAAGACATAGATGCCAGACAGATGCTTGATCTTCTATACCGTAACAAGCATGTATGTTGTTAAATTCTTGTTGAAATATGCAATGAAGAGAACACTACACAACACATAATTACTGTCTAGATAAAAAAATATACATAAGAATACACTGTAGCCTCGTTATAACAAACTATTTGGGGGACATAGAATTAGTTTGTTATAGTGAAATGTTCACTATAGTGAAGCACATAATACATTGGGTTTGTTGTGAGCGGGAGACACGCTATGTGTTCATTATATCAGGAAATTCATTATAACGGTGTTCATTATATTGAGGTTACAGTGTATACAGTACAGTACAGAAGTAAATTAGCTGACTTAGCCTTTTAATAAAACTTTAAAACTTGTGAAAGGAATATTTACGTCATGAATAATTTCAACATATTCTTTGTAGTATTTATGAAAGTTTTTAATACGAGATATATATTTAGGCAGATACTCGATTTAGATATGTGGCACGTTTGAAAGCAGGATAAGCTAGTTAAAGCTGGAGTCGTCACCTGCACATGTGCAGGAATTCCCAAGCGACGATAACACACGCTAAAAACGCAAAGGCTCATGGGTAGACGCTTGTTTGTAAACAATGACATGCCATGGCCATCTGAAGCATGCACAGGTGATGAGTCCCCACTTTAAATGTTAAATTATGGTATGACCATACTTTAGACCTGGACAACCATATATTGATATGTTAATTTGTTTGGGTTTCTGTTTACTCACATTCGTCTCATAGTACTTTTGTCATAACTTGGTCGGTCATTATCTATTGGGTCTTCTGGCTCCTCAGGAACGTTACATCGACTGAAAGAAGAAATGTATTGGGATGGTAACTTGCTGAAATATGCACGTGGTACTGTAAGATACTTTATTTTAGCGGGAATTAATTTTCGCTAAAAAGATATTTTGAATGTTTGGTATGGAATTAATTTTCACTGATTTTTGACAAGTTTAATGTAAAAATAAAGGAAAAAAGGTATATTCGCTGGATTTTCTTGTCACTGAATCATTCTTTCAGTGAAAATAGCGAAAATTCATTCCAAGTGAAAATAAAGTATTCTAAGTACTTACAGTATTAGCCTGGGTAGTATACAACTAACAAAATATCACTTGATGATGGGGAGGATATGGTTGCAATTTATGATCAAGTACAAAGTCAACAAGTCATTGTCAATGACACGTCCCCGTTCCGTTCATATTTGAGTGACATATACATTCAAAGCAGATCATGACCGAAATGCACCTG